AGTTAGAAGTGGAATTGAAAAGGTCGTATAGAAATCCTCATATTCTATCAAGCGATAAAATACTGTTTGACTCTAAGGCAGGTGTGTGTGTGTGTGTGTTTTTCCCCTTCAGTGAATAGAATAACCTTTATAAAGCTGTTGACTGTGCCCGGACGACTGTTGTCTGGTGTTATATTAGTTTGAGGAATTATGAAATGGCCCTGATAAGGTTACATTAAACATCTATTCCCCAGGACGGAATGGAAATGCTTCTTTGGGACTGATCGTCGTGGGCGACTGGACAAAACGGTGGCACCCGAGGGTTCGCTCCAGACGGACAGTCTGCCGGATCTACCGTTGGCTCCAAGGGTATGTCCTTCATTTCCTGTTTGGATGATGATTTAGTGGGGCTAGTGGCGCGGAAAAAAATATCAACAGCCAGCTGAGGATAACAAAGGAGGTGGGCTAAGGCAACTTTAACGAGGACCTCACAGAAGTTTATCGCTTAGCAACGGAAATGACCTTCCTTGCTCAAATATTTATTCGTCATTATGATCGACTCTGTTGAGATTTATAATGTTTGGTACGTCATTATCGGTTTTATAGTCAACTGTACTTAGTGCTAGTTTATAGTTATTTTACACAACCTTTATTTAATGAAATAACCAAATTTACATTTGGGAGACTCGGCCCCATCTTCGGAACACAGGTCTTGCACTGTTGTGTGTTGACACATACAGTAGATCAGGACTGGGGGATGATAAAGGAGCTGACACTAAAAGCTGCTGCTTATTAAGTTACAAGTTACAAGTTATTTGCTGTCATTCTGTATCTCGGTGATGCGTTTGCAAAGCAAGCCAACGGTAAATTAATCTGCAGTCCCTGCTGAAGTGCAACGTTTGTGTCGCCTTACAAAGCTTTCTCATGGGAAAGAAAAAAAAAAAAACGATACGTCACGTCAAACACAATCAGGGTCAACGAACCCTTGAATTATGCTAGGTGTCGAAATGAATGCTACCAAATATGAGTCTAAGCCTTAACGTAAGGGCGCACTCAAACTAGGTAATCGTACGTTGCCCAAACACGATCGCCCCCCTAAAGTCGGCTTCTATGACTAGAGTAAGTACAAGTGTTCCGTGCCTGAGTACGGCACACCTGACACGGCGCAGTTAAAGGAAGTGCACTCTGTCTCAAAACACTTGGTCACGCAGTTAAGTGCATGTGTGCAGGGCGACCAATCGCAAATGGCCAACCTTGCGTATGTTGCCGATCTGCGCCAGTCAACTTCATCTCCCCTGCCACAGGCTCCTCAAATCCTGTAGGAAACCTTGCGGGGACTTGTTGTCCAGAGAAACTGTTGCTTTTAGATGGAGTTAAACACAGTGAATAGCAATGAAGAGGTCGGGATGAGGGAACAAGACTTTCTTAAGAAACGTATTGGCAACGTATTGGCTGTAGGTCGAGGACACCCTGTAGAATTAATATCAAATGTTAATAAGTGATTTTTTTTTTCTAATCATGGTAAAGCACCCCCCACTATTGATAGAAAACAACCTTTTTGCACCCACTCTAAAGTTGAAAATCTGGAACTCGAGTAAAATGCTGTTTTATAGCAGAGTCACTATAGTTTAGGAACTCTATCTAGTATTTCTGCCGTTCTAAGAGAAAACAAAGCGGCATGAAGACCAGACCTGTAGGCATGTTACGTTTGAACCTATTATTTTTACATTGTCGCAGGAGTTCTATCAAGGACATTTTAACAACCAATGCACTATTTATCCACGACTGAAGCTCTGGGCTGCATGAGCCCAATTGTCTCTAATTCAGTTTTTGGTCCATTTATTAATAATCCAGATCCATCTGTCCACTTAAAAAAAGTAAACAAACTCAACTGCGGTGATCACGTCTGTCCTGCTGAGGCATATAATGCAGCTACGAAAATGTGGGTACATTTGACTCAGCGGTGTATTAAGGTGCTTTGCTCCATGTGGTCATTTCTAATGACGCGGCTTTTCATTTAAAAGTGTCAGTATCAGGTTGTTCTCGGATACGAAAGTAAATCAATCAAATCAATCAATGCGGATCAAAACAACGGATCAGTGGAGAGATATGAATAAAAAAAAATAGCATAATGGTAAAAAAAAAAAAAAATCGGCACCGTATTTCTGAATTTAAAAGCAAGGGTGAGATTAACAGAGGACTGTTAAAATTTGAGCTGTGAGCGATAATGAGGCTCGGGTTCTCGCACATGCCACAGTTTGCTGAAAGGGAATATTACAGCTACAGCTGATGAAATTCCGCCGAATTTTTCCACCGAAGGGTGGGTGGCAAGCGCCGAGTTTAGCAGAGGCTGTCTTTGAAAACGTCCTTCAATTTTTTATTTTTTAATAAATGTAATATTCAACCAAAAAAAAAGACAAATATATATATATTTGTGCGGACAGATCACTGACGCCAGTTTCTGCTGTAGGGTTAAATACTGCTTAAATTGACTGCAGTCGCATCCGTTAGAGAAAAGCACATTGTGTACTGACGTTAGAAGAGCTTTTAGAACCCTGCACTTTCTACACAAGAGTGTAATTACCGTGACAGGGAAACACACAGGAGTGCCCTG